ATCATTCCACCTATCCGGGATTCCTTTGACTGTGTTTCAAGACACCCATCCTGAATTCGAGCTTGAGGACAAGCTCGTAGTCCAGGAGGGGAGTATTCTCGGGCCCATAACAGGTTCCAACTTCCAATCTAATCCCAATAAAGGGTAAGGCCAGCTGTTGGGAAAAGCACCCATCCGTAGGCTTGAGGACTGCCTATGTGGTTCTACATTTTGGTCTGCATCCTTTTGTGGTATTGGTGCACAGACCAGAGAGGGTATCAGTTCGAATGCTCCTTAGGTGTACATTTTGCATGTCATGCATGATGCTTACAGAGATAATTAAATTCCGTCATGTAATTAGGTTATCAATACAGAAGGCATATCAGTTTGATGCTGTAGGGACTGTGGAACAAAGTTATGACATTCCGTCTTGCTGATGTATTCTCTTTTCTTTACTTTTTCTATTTTTTTGATTGGATGCTTTTCTGATCAGCTGATGTTTGAAAGTATTGAAAGCATTTCGTCTTTGTTAAGACAAGTTTAAAATGTTGAATGGGTGGGAGAATTTTAATCTATATTTTGACAACACTTAACATGGACTTATGTCCCTGTATCTAGAATCTAAGGCTCTAGATTGTGAAAGTGCTCGCTGCTGGTTTATGTTTTCTTAGTTACTCCTTGATGGAGGTATACAAAAAACTAGTTACTGATATCCACGTTACTTCTCTGAACTATTGATACTGGGCCAAAGGTGAGAAGAAAATTACCTTTCTTCCTTGTCTATTGCATGTGGAGAAGAAAAGAAAGTTACTTCCCTGTATATTTAAGCATGTACCTAAAGAGAGATTTCACATGTAGTGCTGGTATGCTTTCTTATCAGTCTACATCATTCCGTTTGTTTCGTTTCCTATTTTTCTCCCTAATCCTATTACTCCTGTTGAGTTTTTGATGGTGATCCATGAAACATTCTAAATTTTGTAGACATACCCTTTTCACATGGGCTATGATGCTGATGCTGAACAGCATTAAATCAATGATATTTGTTAATTGTCTTATTGACTAATCATTGGCTGGTGGGGTTCCTCTTTTATGCTTCAGGATATTTGGTACGGATAAGGGTTACCGAAAATTGAAGGAACTGCAGAATATTGGAGCTGAAGTTGGAAACAAATTGATGTAGGTAGTGAGGAGGGATATTTGACTGTCGTGATATCAGAGGATGATGAGTTTCTAGACAAAAGGCATCTCAAATGGTCTCTTTACTGCCTTACCTTTGCTCATCATCTCCTGCATTTTTTTGTTTAGCTGGTAGAAGGCAGGTTGTGGTTTTAGGTGTGCCATAATGTGGAATTCTTGTAAGGATTTGTTGTGGACATTTTGTGCTCTCCTCCTATTCCTGAAATGTATGGAAGCTGCTCCTTTAATTGTTCAGGCTTTCTGGGGGTGCTGATGGTTGAACCCAACTCCTATACATTGAACAGGTTTCAATACCGGATTTTCTCGAGGGCGATACTTATTCTGTTATATATTAATCTTGTTTTTGAATGTTGTACTGTTGAGGGCTGGCTTCCCTTTGATGATGATCCCCCAAATCCCAATCCCTTGTATTTTATACTCCTGAGTTTTCATAAATATTAAGAATTAAAAGACTGAAATACCTTACCAAAAACAAATTAGACTGAGATATGGAGATGTGCTACGGCCAACGTTAAGAGCAATTTTCTTATTATTTTACAATTTTTTCTCTATCAAGTACCAAGCCCACAACTTGAGCTGAGCAGTTAGAGATTTAGGATTAGCCGAACGCAGTGGCTGGTGGGCCGTGGAACCAATGATAATTTTCCACGCCAGTAATAAAATAAATGCGATCCACGATCCATGTATTTTATCACTGGCGTGGTCAGCGAAATCCCATATCGACCGGATGGAATCTGAATCAAAATCCCTTGCAATCAGAATCGGAACCATTCCCTTTATTTGGTTCAAACTAGAATTGAAATCGGAATCAAAATTGGTTGGAATGGATTTTCATTCTCAGGACGGGGGTGGAATGACCATTCTCTCACATAAGGGAATGCCATTCCATAAAAAATGAGAATGGGATTTTGATTCTCAACCAAGACCCTTATTCCTGCAAACCAAATGAATCCTAAATTTGTGTTGTATTTGGTAAAAAGGAATTGTGAAATCAAGAGTCAAGACTACTGAATGGACGATGCACTCAGAAACAAACCGACAACCAGCCAAAAAAGAGAAAGGGCAAGTACACACCGTTGTTGACATTCAGATCTCTTATACATCCATTTTATTATTTATTCTATGGAAAAGTACACTACATCCCACCGCAGAATTCTGAATTTCATTGCAGACTTCAACAATTCAAAATGTCAAACACCCTACTCACACCAAAACACCAATACATGTCTCTGTATTGGCATCAATTCCAAGCTGGCACTTATTCCAATCTTTTCAGGGCAGGCATAGTTTATAAATTACTAAGAAAGGAAAATTCCATTTTTTATATGACTGATTGATGGATCCATGGATTTGATATATCTATGGATTCATTCTGTGGTTCTAACTCATGCTGAAGTGCTGAACATAAAAAGAAAAATAAATTACATCTTACATGTTTTGGTTTTCCCATTTTTAGGGAAAGCTAATAGATCTAGTCTGTCCTATACCAGAAAGCACCCAGAAAGTACCCCAACACCCCATGCTAATATAAATAAATCCAGCATTTTGGCTTTTGTTCATTTTTCTTTTTTGTTTGGTTTGAAGGTTGTGATGATACAATGTGAAAATCTAGGAACTCTTGCCAAGTTTGAACACGGGGCCCAAACTTCTTCAACAGCCTAAAGTGGAGGCTATTTTCTACCACAACTAGAATTGCTAATAATCAAGAGAGATTAAGAGAGAGAGAGAGAGAGAGAGAGAGAGAGAGAGAGAGAGAGAGAGAGAGAGAGAGAGAGAGAGAGAGAGAGAGATGTTTTCAGTAGTTCAAGTGCACTCCTCAATATTTTAGGTTCTATTTATAGACCCTTTTATGACTGTTGGGTTTGTTCCAATGGATAGGAAATACCCATAAATCTCTCTAAACAGTTGGGATTAGCCTCCATTGGGATGAGATGCTTGTCCCTGTTTGTTGAGACATTTTCTCAACCAACAACTACTCTAGTGGACCAAGTTTAAAAGAGATAAGTCAAAACAAATTTTATTTTATAGGAAAATAATAAATAATAATAATAATAATTGAAAAGATGTGTTGATTGTGTGTGCATGCTGGTCCACATAGAGCAAATACTCCATCGATCGTGTGGTTATTCCCGTTGGCCTATAGATAGTCCTACACGTCGAGGATGATATATATCGAGGGCCATAGGCCACTCGGTCCAACATCTTCCACTTGGCTGTATAGGCCCGAGATGTACTAGCTGCCCAGTAGTCCTGTTGACTTCACGTGCCATTTAAAATTGCCCATCAATTAAATTGGGCTTGGTCAACGGTTTGGCAACTATCACATGGTGGCACGTATTCAATTCATATATATTTTTTTACGTACATCAAGAACATAATGATGTTATAGTAGCATATGCTTTTTTAATCAACCCAATCTCTTTATCTTTAATGATCTGGATTGTGGCCTGATCAACATTTTTGTTCATGACCGGTCTTGTAGGTGTACGATGTACCTTCTACCTTGACATTTTCAATAAACTTGTGGATCCATGTTGCTTCATTGCTTCAACTGTAGTTTTATTGTAATAAGCTCCATTTTCATTGTGTTTTGTTACACACACTTTCTTTCTAGGAGACTGCTCTTCCTCTCAAGAAGAAAATATAATTAGTAGTAGGTTGTCTCCTGCAAAAATAAAACTTGCATCACAATATTTTATCAATTTCAAATCATTGCATTGCTAGGTTAATTTATAATATATATTTTTTTACTATTTGGATAATTCTTAGTATCCCTCTAATCACCTTCTAATGCAATTTCCAAGGTTATTTAACTAGCAATACCTTTTGCGTATGCTCAATTATATCAACATATCATATATAATGCTTTTTTTTTTGCTTTAATATATAATGCATTTGAGCATATGTATCCTTCTAACCACCGAGCTTGCTTCTTCCTTTCCTTTGGTTTGCTCTTCTCGCTGGCCTAGCTTCGCTGGCGGGCTGTTCCTGACTGAGGGGCGGCGTGTTTTGCGACGTCTCCGCTGCTGCTTCTTCATTGGCTCGGCGTTGGTGTTGCTGACTTCAGTCTGGGCTGACTATCACAAGGGACGAAGATGCCTTGTCTCGAGCTCGCACCTCGAACTCCAAACTGGTTATCTGCTCGTGAGCCATCATTTTCTTGCTGTGAGTACCGAGGCGGATTGGGCTGACTATCCCTTGTCCTGTTTTTGAGATTTCCTTGCGAGGCTGAAGGAGTGTGCTGACCATCTTTCCTCCCACGGGGCGAGAGCTGACTCCTAAGAGGAATTGGTACTTGTGAGGTCTCTTCACCCCGATGGGGAGATCGACTGATGTTCTGGTTAGTTCCAAGCCGATTTGGGTTCTGACCCTGATGGGGCCCTGGGTGCCGAGGTGGAACCGGCTGCTGGTTTGGCTGTAGTGGAGTGAACTGGTGTTGATACTACTGGTACTACTGGAACTGCTACATCTGGATCTGAATAGCCCGGACGTACTGAACGAGGTCATGAAACTGGGAATTGCCCGATTCCAGGGGGAACCACAGATGCCTTAGAGAAAGTTGCGCCTACCACTAGGGGAAGTGGGACACTCACTTGCGTGGTGCTTAGTGGTGTGGACAATGATGAGACTCCAGACGCTGTGAGCGGAATAGTGAATTGGCTGATGCACACCGTAGGAGCTTGGGGGAAGGTTGATTGCTGGGCTTGTCCCCCGACGACGTTCATCTCGACACTTTTTCCGGTGTGGCTGGAGGATGCCATTGAGGTTGAGATTAAGTTTGAAATTGCAAAGAGATAGGGATGACCTTTTGATCGTTGCCCACAGACGGTACCAATTGATGGTGCACGATCTGGATACTCCTAGCTGGAGGGCAATCCGAACTCCAAATGGGCAGCGAGCTGGATCGATCTGCAAAACATTGTATCAGAGAACCTAGGGTAGCTAACCCGGTGAGGTCATTCCGAAGCTTAAGTCAGTACCAATGCTGTGAATGCGAGCTGAATGCTTGAGAGCTTGAGTGCTAGTGAGTAGAATAATCACGCGTACATTTGCCTTGAGATTTCAAGTCTTTATATACTGGAGTAGTCGTGGGCCTTACAGAAGAGCTCCGGGATCTCTGGGTTGTGGAGATAAGGTTGGTTCTGTTTTTTAAGGAGAGTAGTACGTTGATAAGGTTTATCGTCTACCTCCGATTCAGGCGGAACTGGGATGAGTTCTTATCGTGATCTCGGGAAATTCGGGATCCATTGGCTCATTGTGACATCAAGAGATCCAGGATTTGTTAGGGAGGCCTTTGGAGTCGGTTATGCGGCACTTTGGCTTATTAGCTCCGAGTTGAAACTTCGATTCTTTAGTCCCGAGCTGGATTGGGTGTCGAGGTGCCTCTACACCGAGGTGGATTTTGGGCCGAGGTGGCTTAATACCCGAATTGTGAATGTTACGAACTGGGCTTGCCTGGTTGAGTTGTCATCCTTCGATCAGATTGCGCCTACGTGTCCCCTTCTTGCTAGGTCGTGCCAAATCACCCTTCCTCAGTTGGGATTAGCCTCCACTGGGAGGAGACACTTGTCCCTGGTTGTTGAGACATTTTCCCAACCAGCAACTACTTTAGTGGACCAAGTTTAAAAGAGATAAGTCAAAGCAAATTTTATTTTATAGGAAAATAATAAATAATAATAATAATTAAAAAGAGGTGTTGATTGTTTGTACATGCTAGTCCACATAGAGCAAATACTCCATCAATCGTTTGATTATTCCCGTTGGCCTACAGATAGCCCTACACGTCGAGGATGATATATATCGAGGGCCATAGGCCACTCGGTCCAACATGGTTAAGGGATTTTATTTATTAATCCTACATCAATTCAAGACATCTTTTCATGAAACAGAAATTGAATATCTATAAGTTTCTGCCTTTGCTATTTCTTTGATCCTTCTTATATGCCCTTTTAAGTCAAATAGTTTGTTTATACATTCATCAAATTTTAGGAGGGCTTAAATCAATGAACAGGAATACTGGAGGTTTTTCTTTTTTCCTTCTTTTGCGTCGAGACTCGGACACGGACAATAGGAAGGGATTTATCAACTTCCAGTTCCATGAATTCTTCTGACTGGGCTCTCTTGCTTCAACGCAATTGCATCGTTCCCCAGCTCAGCGTAACTTGAGTTAGAAGAGTCCTAACAGATATTATCAATTTCATTTCTTCATTTACCACATTTTATCCATTTTGGGACACTTCGCAATTGCACTAGTGACCTCGGCACCACCCCGGTAAGATGAACTGCGAACACCTAGGCAGGACCTCAGGTTGGTGTAAGAGGCGACCTGCTTCCATTGAACTGCCCTGGCCCCGGTTAGCGACTTGCCTGATGTTCCGAGTGACCTCCCCCTGAAGTGGTTAATCGCCTCTGAATTC